CAGTCAGCAATTCCTTTTCCTCGTTCATTTTGCTCCAATCTTATAACTTCCTCCTCTAGCTCTTGCACTTTAGTAAGGACATTCCCAAATGTCCCCCAACTCTAACTCCTCAGAGCTTTAGCAGTTTTGATTTGCAATAAATTGAGTTTAATGAGTGGGTCAGTGTGTGAAATTCCATTCCAAAGTTTGGCAATGTAAGAGTTGTAGGAAGGATGGGAAGACCACATGTTCAGATATCTAAATGGGAAGGGGAGGATGTGTTATCTGAGGAGGTGATGCTAATAAGGATAGGTCTGTGGTCAGAACCAATAAGACAGAGATGAGTTACAAAAGTGAGAAAGAAATGGTTGTACCAGCTATCATTGACCAAACATCTATCAAATCTTTCCCAAATTTTTCCCCTCTTCCAAGTAAAAGCAGATCCCTTGAAACCCAAATCAAACAGCCCAGTACTATGGATATTATCATTAAAAGTGTTCATTTTAGCATGGTTAGGAGCTCTACCCCCAATTTTTTTAGCAAGAGAAGCAATGTAATTAAAGTCTCCCCCTACAATCCAGGGGGAGTCCATTAGCTGGCTGATATTCAACAAGCAACTCCAAAGCTCCTTTCTGTCTTCCTTAGTACAACCTGCATAAATGAAAGTAGCATATCCCAAATGTCCATTTATATTGAACTTGAAATGGACAAATTGTTGATGATTAACAATGATGTTCCATCTGATTTCCTTTCTACATAAAATCCAAATTTTATTATTGGTATTGGCAAAATTAATGAAACCAGATCACAATGCACCAAAGTTTATATTTATAATTAAATGTAAAACTCTTTTAAGATAAAGGGGATTGGCTATTCCTCTAATGTTCCAACAAAGGATATTAATCACTTGATGGATGGATTTGGAGGGATGGTTGTGATTTGATCTGGTTCTGCCTCTGTGATGGTAGGGAGAACCAATCTTAGTTCTGGCTTTACTCTCTACCTGCTTTAAGCTTCCCTGCTGTAGTTTCTGTACTTCAGTTACTTGTTTTCTTTTCCTTCTAGCTATTTGGACCTGCCAATCATCTTTAATAGCCTGTTGAATACCAGCAATAACATGTTCCTCAGGAGCCTTGCCATGAATGTCCATCTAACCTTTCTCATGAGGGGAAGGTGAAGGAGTGATTATAGTAATTTCATGGATTTCCTTTATAACTTTATCGATTGGAGAAGTCAATGTGTTTCTATTTTTGGGGGAATCTTCTGATGGCTCGCCAAAAAAATCCTCTGATGAAGAGTTTACATTGATGGTTGGGAGTGTTTCCTCAATTCTTTGGGTGGTATCTTTCCTGTTATGCAGATGTTTTTCTTCAGCAATGTTTTTCATGGCTTTCAATGAGGTTTATCCTATTTCCCTATGATCCCTACCAACATTTCTTTTAGTTGGTGGATGTAATCTGTAGCACTATTCCATTGTGTGGCCAAACATTTTGCAATGTTGAAAATAGTAGGGTTTTTGTTCAGGGACAATGTCCTGCTAAAATCCTTCAGTATCTGAGCCAATCCAAATTCTTTTCAATTCAGAGAGGGTGATGTCTCTCTCCACTTGTATTCTTGTCAGTGCTCGCCGCTAGCCTGACTTTGTTATATGTAGGGGCATCCACTTTCAAAGGTGTGCCCAAGGCTCTTCCTATGTTGAACAAGGCATTCAGCTTAAAGAAATGAAGTGGAAGCTTAAAGAAACAGCTTAAAGAAATGAAGTGGAAGACCTGGAAGCTTGTACCAAAGAGGAACCAAAGGTGGTTCTTTACATGGATCAAAGTCAGGAGTCCACTTAACAATTTTCATAGTAGCTCCAACAATAATTACTGATTGCTTTGCAAAAAGTCTTGCATAATCTTCTTCAACAGCTAATTGGATTAGCAGGTGCCTCCCATCCAACAACCCTGTCTTCCAATTTCCAATAAATTTTAGAGATTCAAGAAAATTTCTAACCAGCTCCATTTTTGGATGTCCCAACTGAAATTTCCCTACTAAGGTTAATTTTACTTCCTCTTCTCTCTGTTTGTGAAGAACACAGCAGTCTCCCCCTCCTTGGATCCAAGTGGGTGGATGCAAGGACTACTTCCTTTACCTGCAGCAGTATCATGAAATTCCTGAAGGAATACTAAGTGGTCAAAATCATATATATATATATATATATCATAACACTTCCCAAA